ACAAAGTAATGACACAGCGAGGGAACTTTCCCTATCAGACTTAGAGACATTCTACAAAACCTTAATAATAAAATGGCATAGTATTCCTTCCATAACAAATTATCTTAGTTCTTTGGGGCTGCTGTCACAAAATACCATAGACTGAGTAATTTATAAACAACAGAAATTTATTGCTTACAATTCTGGAAGTGGGAAAGTCCAAGATCACAGCACAGGCAGAGTCCATGTCTGGTGAGGGCTCGCTCTCTGCTTCACGGATGGAGCCTTCTTGCTGCATCTTCACATGGTGGAAGGGGCAAACAAGCTCTCTGGCCTCTTTTATAAGGGCATCAATCGCATTCATGAGGGCCCTATCCTCATGATGAAATCACCTCCTACGGGTCCTACCTCTTAGTACTATTGCATTGGGGATTAGATTTCAACATATGAATTTTGGTGGGACACAAATATTCAGACCATGGCACAAATAGACAATAGAATAGAAAGACAGTTTTATACACAAGCATACTTCAAAAAGTTCATGGAAAGATTTGTATTATGTTTTAATCCTGTTTTTCCATGAACTTTTTGAAGTACCCTGTATACAAACACACACACACACACACACACACACACGAGGTATTGTGATATGATAAGAAATATATATTTTGGTCTTTGTCCACTGCTCCTGGCACAGAACTCCTAAAACTCTGGTAATTTCCTAAGTCATAGGAGCAATAGAAGCATCTTTTGTTGTAATATTTGGTCTTTTGTCCTTGGTTCCTGAAGCAGCCTTGCGTGTCTTTTGTTATTCTTAACAATCCTTTTAATCACACTTGAGTATATATTAATGAAGTGATCTTTTTTTTTTTTTTTTGTCTTTTGTCTTTTTCTTCCGTGTCCGGCAACGGATTGCAACCCTCAGTGTTGGCCCCGTACCGGACTGGGGACCGGCAACGGGACCACAACCCTCGGTGTTGCTCCCGCGCCTCGCTCAGCCAGTGAGCGGGAACCAGTCTGTATGTGGGATCTGAACCCTCGGGCGGGAGCGCCGCTGCGCTTCCCAAGCGGCGCACTTATCCAGTGCGCCACCGGGCCAGCCCCTGAAGTGATCTTTTGAAAGCCCCTGGATAACTATAGGGTAATGACCATTTGCCAGGGGAACCAACCATGTGATTAGAAAATTAGAACTTTCAGCCTCACTTCCCAACCTCTGGGAAAGGGAGAGAGACTGGAGACTGAATTAATCACTAATGACCAACTGTTTAATCAATCATGCCTATGTAACAAAGCCTCCATTAAAAATCCCTAACCAAAAAAGTCTG